TTCACACCTCAAGGCACTAGAAAAACAAGAACAAACCAAACCCAAAGCTAACAGAATACAGAAACAATAAACATCAGAGCAAACAACAAAAAAAATAAAAAAAAATACAAAGGATCAATAAAATGAAAAATTGGTTCGTTGAAACAAACAAAATCGACAGACCACTAGCTACATTAACAAGAAGACTGATGATTCTCCACAGCAGAGGGATAAGAGGACATGGATCAGTGTCAATTAATAACTAGGGCCTCTCTATGTCTATTTCCTGAGCCCTATAAGCTTCTGGCTCACATATACCCAGGGTTCCCCACAACAAAATGACACCTAAACTTCTCATTAACTTCACTCAGAGAGCCTTGTAGCCAGTACATGATTTTAAAAACAAATATAATATAGCTTGCTGGTCAATTTCTAGAAAATTCACAACTGCTTCATGAGTATTCCTATAATCCCTTTCCTAGGAAAGTCCCCTCCACTGTGTCTTTCTGAGAAACAATAAAAGAGCTACCAATTACATTTTGAGAAATCTACAGCAAGTTCAACAAAAGCCAATTCTGGGTGATTTTATTAGAGATGCTAGAATCTGGGAAAATCATGTCCCACATAACACTGTCCTAAATATTCTTCACTACTTGAAGTTGCCACATTACACTTTTCAATTTCTTTTTCTATATGAGCCAACTGCGTAGGTCTACCACAGAGCTTTATGGTCCCCATATGAAGACCTGAGCTCTGCAGGCCCACCTTCAAGTGGAAGGTTACTCAGCGTGCAAGAACAGGCTCTGGAATCAGACATGTCTATATTTAAAACCACATCTGCCACATCCAGGATAATGGCCTGAGGAAAGTACTTCACCACTTTAGTCTGAGTTTTCTCATCAGAAAATGGAAACACTGATTGTGGTTATCTGAGACAGTTGGTGTGAAGATACAATGGATATGACATACAGCCTAAGCACAATGTTGGACATAATCTGTATTTGAGAAATGATATTATTAGCAATCAAAATCTAAGCCACTGAAAATATTCAGTATTATTACACTGCTTTTAGCAGCCAATCTCTAATGACTGGTAAAGTGGTAATAACATACATGTTTAATGCTATAATTATACTTATAAGTTACTTCTACAGTTAATACGATCCATTACCTTACTCGTGAGTTTAAAATAATTTCTTTAGCATAACAAAGAAAATGTCACAGATTAAGGTAGACTGGCAACTTCCAGGCAATATATTACCAGGGATACTTGGAAATTCAGATTAAGACAAAATTCAAAGATAAAAAATGTCCCAGCCATTAATGTATTATAATTCTTAAAGTAAGTCATAACTAATTGTGACTGATTAGTCATTTTTAGAAAAGTTCTTGCTGGAGTGTCAGATTCAAACCTTATCTGTGGAACATCATAGTAAATAATGAGCAAAATTTCTCTGGCAACATTCACTAAAATAATTCCTATGCTGGCATCAATTCTGTAACAGATTTTTGACCCCCTGGCCAAAAATTTAATTAGTGGTGTTGGTGAATTTAAAAATCCAGCTCCCAAGGGAAGGAGGACCCTGATTTGCAGTGTTTGCCAATTTCTCCATGGTGTAAAAAACACTCACCTGGCCCATTGCAAATTGCAATCAGCTCTCAAAAGTCAGTGCTAACTACACACCACACCATCCATACGCGTTAGTATTCCAATGGTTAGGTAATACCTGAACAGGGTTGTTATGAGAAACCAGGAACTAGCAAAGTAAAATCATTAGATATATGATTTACAGATTTTCTAGGCAAGTAACTAAAGCAAATTTACAATGGGCTAATTACATAGGTGGTATGCTGGTAAATGTTTAATATTAAATATTCAGGCTTTGTTCCTTGTAATGACATTCCTCCCTGAGAGGCATCTGCCTCTGCACAAGTGGTTGCCTGTACCCAGCCTGGCATCTTCTTCTTCCATGCAGACCCACTGTCTCTTAAGACTGTTGCTAGACTGAAACTTTCACCTGCCCACAGAGTTTTCTCAGGGTCTGTGTTCATTTAACATCATTCACAAGAAAATATTTATCTAAATTTCTTCATACATTATCATACCCTTTTCTCAGTAAACCCACAGTCATGCTAAAACTCCTCCAGCTAGTAACAGAGGCACACTCTCTGTAGAGATGGAGGAATTAGTTATCATCTGATATTTGCTTACCCACTCTGCATTTGGGAACAGAAGAACTAGCTTTTGGAATATCCACTTGGAAGACTGGCAGGGAACCATAATTAATTCTCCCTGTTTACTTCCAGCTCTGAACTGCAGGCAACCCCAGATATTTCACTACAGAAACTCTGACTCCTAAATCAAAGGATATAAAAAAGTAGAAATTTATAAACAAAGATATTATGAAATTTCTTTTAATTCATAATGGCACTTCGAACCTGCTTAATCACCAAAGACAAGCTGTTGAATTATGATTTCAGCAATTCTACAATCTCTCTGTAGGTTACACTAACAAAAACAAATTATATTAGTTATTCTCTATGGCTAAAAAAAAGAAATCCTTACAAAAATATCTCTCT